CTTTTTAGCAGATGTCTATATGTCGTACATTGAGAGTTTATCAGAGGATTAAATTGAAGGTATGTAGATGACACAGCAATTATAATTGATAAGCCTTGTTCTCCCGCTTGATTTTTAAATCGAAGGAATGAAGTTCAGAATAGCATATCGCTCACACCTGTAGAAAAGGAAGATAATTATTTATCTTTCGTAGACATATTGCCTAGTCGACAAGGTGATGGATCAGTAAAACGATCTATTTACAGCAAACCTACCTGGACAGGACAGGACAGGACAGTATTTCAAATACCACAGTTTCTGCCCTGTTCAGTACAAAAGAGCCCTAGGGAGTGAGGCGCCTCTTCAGTAGAATCTAATGAAAATGTCCTGAATACACACATAATGAGGAAGAAAGAAAGTTGACACAAACTGTGGTTGATAACAGTTTTTCAGTCAAGTTCATCAGGAGATATATAAAGTAGTCAGAACACCAAGACTCCCTCTCCAACTCGCCGCTAAAAAAGACGTATACATCAAGCTAGCCTATATAGGGCTTCATAGCAGCTTGATATATAGACAAAGACTGAACGCTGCTGTTGAAAAGACTTTTTATGCAGCTAAGATCATAATAATTGAGAATGTGAAGCCGATATATCCGTCTAAGCCCTTCGAACATGCGAAAAATGATGTCACGTCCAACACTGTATTTACCAGTTTGAATGTATGTGTGGACACACATACATAAGGAGGACTATTTGACCTCTGCAAATAAGGGCTGGCTTCACAGCGTATTCTTAAATGGCATCAGAAGCAAATAGAATCCTCAGAACTGATTACTGGTGAGAACACGAGACCTAGCTCCTTTATTGAGAAACATATAATAGAGACAGCACAAAAACTTGACGTTTACACATCTTTTAGACCTATCTATAAATACGTGTTTTGGGCGTATCCTAAACTTTGTGGAATCCCTAGCTGACAATTAGAAAGTTTAAACCAGACTTATACGTTTAAAGCAACAATTCGTCATCACAATAAACCATCTTCCTTGGTAAATTTTGTTTTGATACCAGTCAGAGCAGATGTACTACTACCTCTCTTCTTTGGTTGAGTGATCTCCAGCTGTTATTTTGACCTTCAATATGTCTTTTTAACTAGAAGTAACTTGTCTAATTTATCACCTGTTAACTTTTTATTAATTGCATATATATGTGCCCCTATGACAAGTCTGTGTGTGATCAGATTGTTCGAAATGCGTGTTGCGCAAATACACAATAAACGATTCAGACAAATTACGTTTTCTTATTGCTTTGTTTAAATTGCATAAAGGGAACCAACTGTTTTAAACTATGATTATGACAATTCATGAATTTTATCATTATCGTCTTTCATGAAAAAATGTCTATAAGTGAGGTAGTGCAGCTGGGGGGGGGGGAAGAAGGACATCGCTTAAAATAGCCTCTTCACTGAACAGTGTTTTTTGTGGAAAAATCAATATGGTATCAAGCAGATCGCATATTTTATGTTATCTGAATAATTGTAAGTGTGGTGAAATAATCACCACCTGTAATTGTGTAAATTACAAATTGGGCGATTTGAACTGGTTTGTCTCTCACGGAGCTGAGTCAAACCGGTTACATCACTGATGAGGTCGACGGGAAACGACCGAAATGGGCGTCTAACCTTGTTTTAGTTCGCTTCGGTAATTTGGCTAACTAGCAAGCACTACTGGTTGATTTTCATAGTGATAGCCAACTACTCATCTCAGTTAATCAGTAGTATGTGGTTTAATGCATCATTTTTCGTCCTTGTTTTGTTCAAACTAACGGCCGCATGAGAAGACTGTATAAAATATGGACTTGGCGGATGATTTATGGTTAGCGTCACACAAGCTCGAAGATATACAGGAGAAAACCAGCAAGTTTTTAGAAGAGGTAGGCAGTAAAGACACGACTTCAGGTGAACATAGGGAAGACGGAGATGATGAAGATAACCAATCAGTAATAACAGCAACAAAAACAACTGGAAGTACCATTCACCACCAACGGAGGTAATTCGAAAGGGTTAACCCAGGCAGCATCGCTTCAACTACAGTCGACAGCTGAGATGTGAAAGCCAGACAGATCTTGACTAATGTGAAATCAGTTTTAAAATCTTCAGCATTAGCTCAGCAATACGAACCGGATTTAGATTTCCTACACCAATTTCAGGTCATTCAGTTCTTCTGTATGGGTCAGGAACATGGCGCGTAACTGAAAGCATTTCCGACAGGCTAGTGAACACTTTCATCAACAGCTGCCTTCTCTAGCTGTCCAGTGAAGGTCGGATGGCTGACCAGGGAGAATTAGCAACAGACGACTATGGGGACAAACCAACTAACAGGCTATTATGCAACAAATATTCAGAAAGAAATGGAGACGGATTGGACACACGCTGAGTAGACCGTCGGATGACAGTGTGCGTCAGGTGGGAAACGATGAGTTGTGCGTGGGGGTACGAGGATGACATTTGAGGACATTGTGTGAGGATGAGATGAGAGCTTACTGGCAGTCGTGAAGCCAACTGAAGAGGACTGCAGAGAGCAGGATGAAGTGGAGATGTTCTGCTGAAGACCTATATCCCACACACGGAACCTATCGTAATAACATCAATAATGATAATATTGCACTAATAGTGAAACTCTCCCGTTTGTTGTAAACAGAGAAATAAAACTGTGTAGTGAAATAGATTTATTAATACAATAGAAAGTTATCTTATGTACAATGAAACAGTCTTGTCTTTGGAATAGTATATGGTACACACAAGTAATAGAAGATGAAATTATGTTAAGATATAAAGATTTCATAAGATAAGGCGTATACAGACTCAATCAATGAATGAATACAGAAAGGAATGAGAATAAGGAATTAACAAAGGGCAACATGTATAAAACACAACGTTTATATTTCTTCGCATATTTAAAGCTTAACCTACTGAAATTCACAAAGCTCATTAGTAATAACAATACCAACATTAAAATAAATATTCAATATACATACATTACAGCAATCTGCTAACAGTATACACCCTAGGAAGTAAATTTTACCATTGCAGAATGATTTTATTAGGCAAGAAAGCACACACAGTGAATATGTGACGTTTCGAGTACAATTTATTGCTCATAGTATTCATATTAAGATGCTACTTCTTATGGGTTGATTTAATGTATATTGGTAGTAATATTCTCTTTGGTATCTCTGTTTCGTCAATCCTATTGGATGTTTCGGGAGTGTGGATACGATGAACAAAGATTTAGTAAAGGTACCTGCCCCTGAAACCACCTATGCCATTTTTTATAACTGTAGATAGTTAACCCTGTTCTACCCTGTCCTGTGATTTTGTATTAATGTATGCATTGCAATAGCTCAGTTTTCCTTTAAGCGATTCGTTTGACTACCCGAGACCTTCTGATGAACTCACTATGATTGCAACGTATTTTGTAGATTATATAATTTTGTTTAATTAGGTCATTAGGGTCCTTTAACCTACAGAGCTTGTCCCTGAATGAGTTTGAAGGGTTTAAATGTAACCCTGACTAATTCTTGCTTTGATGGAAAAAAATTCTACCTGCGTCTTACCATTCCAGTGATCTCCAAGATAGTCTCACTATCAGTAAAATTAAATGTGAGCTAGAGTAAGGAAAGCTATTTTCTCCCGGATTGTTTGTGATCCCCTTGTGCAATTGAAAGTGAATAGGAAGTCCAGATTACGTCATAAAGTAGATCGACTATCCCCTCGAGCTAACCATGCCAACTCTGTAATAGTTGACTAATGAGATTCGCTAAAAGTGAGATACTTATCTAATTTCACTTCTGAGTGTGTCGTTGACAAGTAAGCAAGGATTTAGACGCATAGGTCATACGACATCTAAGACCATGTAATTACTTATGTTCTTGGTGCCATAGCAGTGATACTTAACAGACTAAATTTTTGTTAGATGATTCGCAGGTGGTTGACAACACTTTTTGAATCTTGATGTCATGCTTCTTGACACTGCTCAGCAAGGAGTGTCTGAAGTCCGGCTCCTTCTGACTCCCTTCAAGATTGCAGATATGCCTTAATGACTTATAAGTCACAGCAATCAAAAAACTTAGGTCTAAGGCTTCCTGACAACCACCTCCAACCACTTAATGATCATTGAGAATGCACCGTTTTGGAGAAACATCAAGCATGGTGGTCACATTAGACACTTGACTGATAGACTTCAGCCTGCACAAACACCAACGGTTAGACACATGACACTAGTTAATTCTATGTGTCTAATCAAAGTAGACTGAAGTAGTAGTCTCCCTGAAAATTACAATTTACCCCTCTATCGATGTTAGTGGATAGAATAAGGAAACATCCTACAATTCTTTCCATTAGTCAACTTGAACAAAGCAAAAAGGACAAATGTACTAGTATAATATGATTTCAATCTTTAATATTTCTACATTTCTTCTCACCTCGCTAAAACCTGAATTTTTATGCAATGATACAGAGTAAATGATAGTAACTTCACAAATAACCCACGTCAGGAATAATGTAAGTTGTTAACGTATTAAGAGTTAAAACTCCCGACTATTCGTAGGATAGGATGGATGGATGTATTCCTTCACGTTCCTATGTGAACATAGGACTTCGAGCTAAAGCTTTGAAGTTTTGGTAGCAGCTGTGTTTACTTTTACTCTATGGGATTGGTAGCCTCTTAATAACTTAACAACATGCATCATTCCGAAGTTATGTTACTGTTATATATAGTTTCAATCAATTACTCCTTGTCATGGCATAAAAATCTCAGCTTTGATTAGCTGATAAGAAACCATGGACATCATAAAGAATGACTTCATAATCATCATCCTGGTATTATTGATCGTTCTTACTTTGTTCAATTAGGGGAATATTTGCTGCCCATCTTTTTGTTCTTACTCAAGCAAAGGTGGTATACCGTTACATAAAAGTTACACTGAATAAATTTTCATATAATCAATTGACTTTAACTGTTAACTATTCAAAACGAACTTACCACAACATCTTCTTGTAGCAAACACGATAGCAGTAATATTAGTAATACTACTAACAGTAATATTAGTAGCAGTTATATTAGTAGTCGTAGTATTCGTATTATTATTAGTAGTAGTAATAGCAGCAGTAGAGAAGAGAATCAATGACTGTGTTAATTCATTACTGTAGAAACTACACACTCCCGGCAATCTCTGTTAGCAATGAAATAAAGAAAGCAAAAGAATAGAAGATATTGATTATTTTTGAAAAGAGAACTGTTCAACCTACAGTAGAGTTGTGTAAATATAACTGGGCCACTTTAACATGCCTATGCCAGTTAACTAGAAGCTAGTGTGGAGCTGAATACATTGACTGTGACATGCGTCCACTTGTAAGAAAACGCGCTCAGGAATATTATCCAGCCTGGCTGGCTATCAAAAGGTGAATGGAAGTGTGTATGCAGTTGGGTAACAGGAAATATATAGTGAATTCAGGACATTGGAAGAAAGGCTACTTATTCAAACTGTCAAAGAAATGAGACTTAAGTCAACGTAAGACCTGGCGCGGAATTATGCTCCTGTCCACCCCAAGCAAAATACTAAGCCGAATCATCCTGGAGAGAATCAAACACGCCAACGTGGATGAAAACCTTCGAACGGAACAAGATGGATTCAGGAGAAACAAGTCATGCATCGATCAAATCGCAGCACTACAGCTCGTCATTGAACAGAGTTTGGAAGGGCAGTCACCTCTCTATCTCAACTTTATTGACTTTGGAAAGGCCTTCGAGAGCGTCGAGATTTCCCTGATTGCAGTATATTGAATAATGCAACAGACAGCGGGAAACGAGGAAACAGGCATAAAATGGACTCACACAAAATCTTTGAGGATCTGAACTTCGTCGATGATGATATAAGTCTGATTTCCCACAAACTGGAAGATATGCAAGTGAAAAGCAACAAGCTGTCAGAAGAAGCGTCAAAGATAGGAAGGACTTCAGGTGAACATAGAGAAGGTGGAGAGGGAGATGATGAAGATTCCTGGCCAACAGAAACATTCACAGTAACAACAGACAACAATCAGTATAAATAGGAAAAATCTGAAAGAAACAACCTCCTCTATTTATTTTTTTATATTTTTGATTAAAGCTTGATTCCACACTGTATTTTTCGTACAAGTATGGAATTTTCAGCGTGGATATCGGTAGCCCAAATTTCGCAGGCCGACCATAGATATCAGGTGTGCGTCGGCAGGGGATCGAACCTCAAACCATGTGCATGGTCGGCGAGCATGCTAACCACTGTGCCACCGACGTACCTACCGACCTGGGAAGCATCGTTTCAACTACATGCGGACGGAGCTGATGAGGATATCAAAGCAGCGAGGACTGGGAAAGCAAGTCAAGCTTTCATTTCTCTCAAGTCTGTGTGAAGGTCAGCAGCACTCATAATGAAAGAGAAGATTCGGATTTTCAACTCCGATGTGAAGTCTATGCTACTTTATGGATCAGAGACTTGGTACGTCACAAATGGCACTTCGAACCAACTACAGACCTTCATCAACATCTGCCTTTTGTCAATACTATTCAATATCAGATGGGCAGCCAGAAAAGATTAGCAACAAGGATGTCAGGGAGCGAATGAACCAACGAGTAACCAATTGTGCAACAAATATGCGGAAAGAAATGGAAATGAGTTGGCCATACTCTGGCCTAATGAAGCCTTAGGCATTCAGATAGAAAAATCAGAGCTATGTATACTGCAGTGAGTGCTACTTTTAATCAGATATAAGTAGTATATCAGTAAACGAGTTCAGAAAAACAACAACAATATCTTTCGGACACTAGAAAAAGCAATCGAAGAACAGAACAGTGTGAAGAACGTTAGAAACACTTTGAAGAATTTAAGAAGCTATGGAATATGGTGATATCTGACCAATTTGTAAATGATTACGTAATTGCACACATCCGTGCGTGCCTATGTTCATCATGATCAAAACTCATTCATCCCATTATATGATTCTAATACATTTATTTAACTCCTCTTATGTGTTGATTAGTATTCTTGTCTGAACACTTAAATTTTCGTTCTTTTTATTTATGCCAGGATGCTGACTACTCATCAACTAGTAAGATCTTGATGTAACTATTTTCGATAAACCTATTCATTATAAAATTCATGTTCTGTAATGGAGTATGAATTCTGTCAGGAGCAAACAGGATGATCCTTTTAACTACCTGTTGAATATTTGGCCAGATTAACGGCAGACGCAGTTAGAAATATAGTTTAAGTTTCATATTGGGATCTGATCAAAAAAATTTGTCTCTGTGTTCAGTTAGGAAAAGAACTGGGGTGTAATCAAGAGCCCGCTAAGCTTTTATTTTGATGTCAATTATCCTCGGACTGAAAAGTCGCCTTACTATTATTATTACTGTTTCTTTTAATTCCTAGAGGAACATAGGGCTTCCACCTCACTTCTCCGTTGCGTTCAGTTCTCTGCCAACGTTTTTGCTTGGCTCCACGTCTGCGCATATGCTTTCATCTCCTCTTTGCATCACCTCCTCCAGGTTACCCTCTTACTGACAACCAACTAACTCCCCACTTCCTATTCGCGCTCCACTTGAGCGACGGCCTGTCTTGTGATGTCACTTGATGGTTGGTTTTCTCAGAGTATGGCTAATCCAGCTCCATTTATTCCTGCATATTTGTTGAACAATTAGTTCCTCGTTGGTTTGCTCCCAGAGATCCCTGTCGCATATCTTTTCTGGCCATCTGAGCTTGAGTAGTACTGAGCCAAGACAGCTGTTGATGAAAGTCTGTAGTTTGTTTGAACTACCTAACTCACTCTTATCCATCATTAATAAAATATATGTAGTCCCTGAATTTAAATATGGTGCATGAAAGACATTTTCTATCAGGTAAAGACATTAAACGTCGAAGAATTTCTAAAAGTTTCAAGGTGAATTTTCCACGTGAATTAATATCGCTTAAGAAGAATAGCCAAGAATGTCACAGTGTACTAAACATTCTTCGTCTCTTCCACCAGCCGTAATTATATTGAAGTTTATTATTGTCCCCTTGAGTTCCAAGTAGAACATATGGCTTCAATCATAAAACTACGGTCTGCTTTAGCTGGCCCGACGATCGTCCATAGGCTCTCATCTCCACCATGTCATACTTGGACCAATGCGCTACTCGTCGTTTTTTATTCAGGCTCCACTAGACGGCCTGATGCAACTTGTGATTCGAAGGACTCTTTATTGTGCCTGCGACACATCCCCATTTCCTTCGGTTTATTTGTTAAGCACTAGGTTATTTGTTGGTTTATTCCCGGAGTTTCCTATTTTTGATCCTCTCTTACCATCTGTTCCTCATAATACAGATAAAGAAGGCAGTCATCTGATATAAGGCTGCAGTTCACCTGTTAGAAATGCGTTTCATGACGCGCCTGACAAGTCTCTGAACTGTACGGAAGCATTTAGTGACTTCACAGGGATGTTGGACAACCGAAATTTTTCCTTTATGCAGAATGCAGAAGATATCCAAACTGACTTCAGAGGGATGAGTGTCTGCCTTGCCTTTCCACTTCTGTTTTTGTCATCCTCATCTGTACTGTCACTTGTAGTTGAAACGATGCTGCTTGGCCGAATGCGTTAAGGAAGTGACCTCTTTCAAATTTCTTCCACTGACTTCCATTGGTGTTTGCTGTTGGTTGGTTGGTTGGTTTCTTAGTTATTTTCATCAACTTGGTCTTTTCTGTGTTCGCTAGGAATGGAGTCTTCTCTGCTTCTTCCCCTAGTTTGCTGGTTTTTGCCTGTAAGGTTTCTAGTTTGTGTAATATTAAGTATAAATCATCCGTGATATTCAGATCTTCTCCAGTCTTCTTATTGGTCGGCGCAGTGTGTTCCTGTCTTCTGACTATCTGAGCATAATATTTCAAATAATCCAGTTAACCACAATTAAGAATATCATTGATTATAGTAGGCAGCCATGGCATTTATTGTCATTCATCAACTAGGACGTCGTTTGCATTTGAACTCAGCAGTATTGCTGAGATTGAAAGAAGATTCCGTTCAGTGAATGTTACACACCCGGAAAATTACATGGATACTGATTATGAATTTTACAAAAATCGGCTACTAGTCAGATTTGTATACGAATTCAATCGGTGACTAGACCAAACAGATATCTTAAACGATCGCGGATAATGATAACATGTAGCGCAGATTCATTTAATAGGTAATCCATTTGGGATTAAAGTTGAAAATAGGGCCACATTACAGCAGATCTCCGTTTTCCTCTATTCTCTGTAGCTATTTTAAGATGACGATAAGCTTTAATTTCGTCTTTCTCTGAGGATGTTTCCTCGACACCATCCTTGAAGCAAGCTTCATTCCAGTACTCGCCTCAGGTGTGTGTGATATTAGTCAACAGTTGTTTAAGCTGCGCATGTCCAACCCATCTCCATTTTTTCTGCATATCTGTTGGGCAGATGATATATTGTTGGCTGGTTTGTTGTCTGCTCGAGTTCCTTGTTGCACCTTATCCTCTCTGGCTTGTCATTTCATCTTTGATATTGCACCGGTAGAAGGTAAAGTGTTGAAAGATGTAAGACAGGTCCGGATAACTGCCGATTCGTGTAGCTAAATCACTCAAGCTTTAACCATATTCTGAAATTACTGAAGCTATCAAAATCCAATTTAAGTAGTATAATTAGTAATGAAGAAAACTCGATTAAATTTTCTAACTTTAAATATTATCATTATTGTGATTATCATTATTAACTTACAGTTGAAAAAGAATACGAGCTACATCCTTTGTCTAGCTGACATTCATTGAAACAACTACTTGTATTACTGATCGCTCTAGACGTGTACAGTTTTGATGTGATCGGATCTGGTGATCCTAATCCACTCAACCATTTAAGTGAATTACAGCCTGTAGTATAAGTCGGCAAACCAACAGATGGAGTACATGGTCTCAATACGAATAACGTGACGTCTATATTATCTATATAGGTAGGTATGTGCAAAAAAAAGATGAGATTAGGTCATGTAATAAAATTTATGTGTTTCATGAAAAACATTGTGATAAGAATTTCTTGGGGTCTCAAGGTGTAAACTGTATAAATCATTTATGTACATGCCAACATAGCATCGTGTGTCGGTGGTTGTACGGTAGAATGGTTTCCAGCCATACACGTGGTCCTGGGTTCGACTCCTGTCTGTCTGGCGTGTACCATTACCTCCATTATGGATAGAATTTTTACTTTGATAAAATCACACAGTGTTGTTGTGCAGTAATAATTACTGATAACCACGTTTCGAGCACAAATTATTGCTGCTCATAGTCATCATATCAAGGCACTACTCACACAACCTTCTTGCTTCATTCATATACATCAGTAAAATTGTCCTCTGATTTGACCAGTGGTGATAAGATCTTCCATATCTTTGATATTTGCTTTGAGTCAGTTCTATTTCATCTGATGGGTGTGCAGATTCAATGAACCAGGGTTAAGTAATCAATCTCTCTCTCTCCGCCTACCCAAATTACCTCTTAGGATTTTGACTCTATCCCAGTCATCCTATTGTGTGGTTGTATGTTAACGCATGCCGTGCGATTTCTGAGCTGTTTTTTTCTAAATTACTTATCCTCTCGGAGTCAATCATTCTTACCTTAGCTAAATTCTTATGTTCTGACAGGCAATCTGACTATCCCTGACCTACTAGTTTGACCTAAGCAGTTGACTTAACTCACAGTTGTTGCAAGGCATTTTGTAAATTACATTAAGTTTTCTAATTGTGTCACAATAGGATCCTTCAACCTACAGAGCTTGTTCTACCTAAGTCAGTATGTAGGTTTGAATGCCACCCTAATTCCTGCTCTAGTGAGAATCTTACTTCGGATCTTAGGTGTCCCATCCTTATAAGGTAAATCTATTGTAGATGTCTTATATCAATTCTTGTTTATGTAATCCTTTTATCAACAGTGCACTATTTTCTCCTTTGTCAGTTGTAATTCCGATAAGCAGGGGAGGTTTGGTGTGAGGCTAGACCCACCTCACACTGTGAGAATGACACCAAATCTACAGAAACTTCAGATAGAAGTTCTATGTTCCACTCGGAACGTAAAGGAATGGAAAAAAGCATGGAATCTTTAGCACAGGATTGATTAGTGGCGTAAACAACAACCTTGCTGTTTCACAGTTAGTTCATCTACAAAAGGCCGATTACGACATTATAGAAAGGTCAGTTGGTTAGCTGAAAGAGTAAGAGTAACTCACCGCCATACTATATGTCATCAACACTCTCTTGGGAACCAGATAACCATCCATCGATAATCGCCATTAATTTAAAACGAGTAAAAATCAGTATCTAACCCGGTGACTGTCATTACCAAATCAACGATGGCAATAAATAGATCGCGTAGTTATGAGTGATTGATGCAGAGGGTTGGTAGAAGATTGCTGCTTTTCATGGGACACCTATGTAGATATCGACCGTGTATTCGTCCTTGAATGCATATATCTACGACGTAAGTGATACGGACGACAGGCAGTCACGATGGTCATTACACCTTCAACTTGACGATAACTCAAGGTCTTCATCTAGGGAAGATGTAACTTTAGGTGTAGCTAAAATTAACAGTAATAACCTCACTGAGGGGGTGTGGCAGAATATTCAGTTTATTGCAATGACAGTGGTCAGAGAACCTGACAGCCAGAAGTCAAAATATACTTTACGGTAATGTGTTTTAGTCGTCTTATCTGAATTGACAGTTACAGGGAGACTAATACCAATGGGCTCCAATCATGACGGCAGAGTGAAATTCATTAAAGTGAAAATTAAAAATCGTGAACTTTAACACGCTCAAAAGAAAAGTATGCGCACAAGACATCAGTGCTAGATGGTCTCAGACAGACAACTCCCTAAACTCATCAGGAAGGTAGACGGAAAGATAACTATGGCAAGTAAAAATGATTTCATGTGTTGGTTTTCAAGAACCTCACTGATTTCAGAATTTTATCATGAACTGAAGTCGATTAGAAAACCGCTGGAAAACCTAACAATGAACACTGAACAAATGTTTGGTCCTAGTCTCGGACTCTTCAGGAGTGCGCACCCACTGAAATATGAGCCCAGGACCCTAGCTTGCAAGGCGAGCTGCTAGACCACTCAACCACTGGGAATCGATAATATGGTCAATGAATTCCAACTTCTGCCAGTCCAGGATATGACACGACGAGCAGAAAATATCGTCAGCGAGCATTTGTCCTCATAATCGACCTCAGTAGGATAGAACTTTAACTGATTTTTAGTATAGACGATTGGAACATTGGACAAAACACTCTGAAGGGCGATTCATATGGTATTCGGTCAAACTAAAATTGCTCACAATCGAATACCTTAGTGAATATGATATAGACAGAGATCGTCCAGCTGCAATTGAGGTAAGTAGTCTAAAACCAAGCAAACCAACAAGATCTGATTGGATGACTTTAGAGACATTTAAAGATGCTATTGATGAATTACTGACATCTAGGCTAGCTAAAACGTCAGTTGGGTGGAGGGGGTGGGAGGTGGCTGAGATTGTTCTAATGACTGATGCAAACAATTGGCTTTCTCAGTTTATAAGAAAAGAGATAAATCTCTCTGTGACAATCACAAAGGAATCTGCTTGACTAGCAAAGTTTTTAAAAATTTATATCCCCTAACCGCGTTTGTGTAGATTAGACAGGGAAGTAACATTCCAGGATACTATAGTAAATAAAGTGAAAATTATTTGCTTTACTCCAAAGCATCACAAATGACTATTATTCATTGTTATTTCATTCCTTTGCATACACAGTGGAGCATAGGGCTTCAGGCTAGTGGCTTGAAGTTTCGGTAGTAGTGGTTTTTATTTTTACGAGATAGGATGGCTAGTCTCACGCCCAACCTTCCCTGTTTGGCTGGCTTTTTACCAGCATTGCGAGGTAAAGGAATGCCTTGTCGACCGAGGATCGCACTCTGGATCACCTGAGTGGCTGGCGAACATTATAACCCTACGCCATCGACACATTATGTATGATACATTGGGCAATTTCCACCACCATTATGTACAATATTTTATATTTGAGTTGAACTCAGTGAATTGCCACCCAATTAAATAGTCACTCAGTATCTTATGCATCTCTCGTCTTTATTACAGAACTCCTCGACCATTGTAGGCATACATTTATTTCGTTTAAACTTGAACTGTCTGTGTAAAAACTGTATAAGCGCAATTTTCTGAGAACTGTTCACAAATTGTTGAACTTTCTGTCAACTGACATCATGAAACGTTTTCAATCTGTAAGCAGTAGCTGATGAGAAGCCAACGAAATAAGCAATGATGGTACCATATTATTCTGCACAAACCACACTGTTTTTCTTGCTTTATTCAAATTCATCAGGGGAATAAATGCATGTAGTTTCACGTCTAACACCACCTCTGTCATCACATAGAATACTAGCTGGCCAAATAGGGTATCCTTGGGTTTCTAGACTTGGTTGTACAAGCATATATATAACCTTTTATACTGGCTTCTAGTCCTGTCAGATGAGATTCAAGGTATGGAGTTGTGAAGAGAGACTCTGGTGTTGACAGTTAGATAATATGGATTTAGACCAATTGTGACATGTGTTTATGTGTCTGTTGACTATGATGGTAACGAGCTAACTAAGTGGTACACAACATATCCTACTAACTACCATTAATACCCTTCTCAATATGACATAATCCCTTTTGGGGAGGGAGCAATAAAGAATAATAGGTAAGATGCAAGAATTAACAACAGATTGTAAACGTAAGAACTGGGTAATTCCAGATTGTCTTAACTTCTTAATGTGGAAGGAAAGATGGAGCATTTTATTAGAAATAGACAGGAAATGGAGAAACCATCTTTATTAGGGCCCTCTAAGCTTCAAATATTGCGTGAACTAGTGAGCTCGTTAAGATTAGGTTTATCCCTGAAGATGAAATTACCCGTGTCACATTTGGAGGGATTTGTCGTTAGACTATTAAGCTTACAGCACTGGCTAATGTCGAGGATGAACCCAGTCAGTCTATTGGTAATGGTCAGCTTGAGGAGGTATTTGACAACGAGACAGTGAAGTCGTCAGAATGTTTAGAAAACTTGGTGTCTTCCTAATAAGGACCGTCATGTGAAAAGAAAGAAAAAAGAGGAGGAGGAGAAGAAGAGAAATAATGTGAAACACCTGGAACTTTGTTTTTCCCATACAAAACTCTCCGTTCATCATTGGATAAGAAAACAAGCCCATGAATTCTAACTTCTGCCAATGTTCACTAGTGACTGAAGACATGATAAGGTTACGCGAAGTTCTGTAGTGAAAACTCTCTACCAGTCGGATCTCTAAAGTTTCGTACTAGGATAAATACTGACTGATGGCACTTTGTGGTGGTTGAACTATTCGTCTCTCATTGGCGTATAGCCTTGTAATCTGAAGGTTCTATGTTCGAGTACTGGCAATGCAGTCTTGGGTGCGTACTTCTAAGCAGTTGCAAACTAGGAATAGAAACAGCTGTCTAGTACTCACCCGGGTGGCTTCTAGTCATTCTCTAATTAGAATATGTATATGGAAACAAACACATACATATTATATACTACAAGAACGATGAATGAACTTACCACAGCATGTCATGGTTCCATACCAGAAGGGATCACCAGCCATTGTTAAATTATTCGGTGTTATATTGCTTCTATATAAACAACACGTCATTGATGTAGGCTATAAATCGACAGAATATATGTTGAATAGATAAATTTAGACCGTTTAATGAAGGTACTACATTTATATGTTCTTGAAAAAATTCACAGTTTTTATGCGGAAAAGTATATACTACTGATTGATTGAGATGAGTAGTTTCCTACTAATCACATCGACAAGCAATGCATGGAAGCTTTCCAGATCGAAGCGATTGAGTCACTGGACTGCCATTTCCATGGCTTGGGAAGATGGAAGTTGGAGTTCGTAGGCGGTTGAATTGGGTCCAGGAGGTTGGATGGTCTACCAGCTGTCTATATGACTGGATGGCCTTTGGTTCGAACTTGGTGGGTGCACATCGTTGAGGAGTCACAGAGTAGGACGAAAAAGCTGTCCAGTACTCAGAATTAGTTTGTCAATCATTCCCTAACTGATGTCAGCCTCATGATCGAGCCGATAACAGGTGAAATCCCTGCAAACCAACCATTAAAAAAACAACATTTAAATCCTCAGGTATTGTCACAGGACCCGTGTAACTAGAGAAGCTGACGTGTAACCAAAATATACACCGAACAGTTCGATCCAAATATATTCAGTCATATAACCACAGAGAAATACAAAAATCCAAATTAAATTAAAACAAAAGCAATGCATGATTTACCAGTCTAAATGAAAATGACAGACACCCAGTCTGACGACGACATTCATCGAAACAATTCGTCGTTGTATCGACAACACATATCAGTGATGTATTGACAAATTGTTGTGTAGGAATACCACGACCAATAATCCATGTTGCATTTGCACATGTTAGAAATGGTTGACATCGATCGCATGGTTGACATGGCGATAACATGACAACATCATTTTGACAAGTGGAATAATCTGTGAAATCAATTATTATTATGTGTAAAATCTTAGTGATAATAATAACAATGTTTGTCAGTGAATAGTTTCTCATCGCGTTAGAGGATAAGTTGACATTAGGAAACGAGGGGTTAGACGAAGAAAATGAGGCAAAATTCATTTGTGTATGCATATTTATAGTGGAGGAGAAGACAGGCGAACAAAAGATTGTCCTTTCTCCTTTCTTTCTACCCACCAATCAAAATGCTTCTAACATCTAGAAAGATGATAGGGTACTTTGGAAGGAATTATATTCTCTTTTCACTACGAAGAGAGTAGTGTGGTATGTCCTACTGATAAGATTTATTAGTAGTAAGTGAGGAGACATCCATCGGTATTCAAAAATGTCGAATAGTCAAGGTCGAACGTCAAGTGATAGACTTGACGTTAAAGAGAGCAAAACACGGGGGACACGAAAAGAAACACAAACAAAAAACACAAAATGAATGGCGGTAGTAGCATAACATGGAAGATTTGTACAAATAACTTTTTGCAGATAAGGTGTACATAACTTCCTTGAATGCAGATAACATATAAACCAAATAAACATTCTGTTATCGAGTTCCTTGTCTTCTTTAGTGAGTGTGGTATTTGAATGAGCAGACGTGATGCGAAAATCATCATATTTGCACTACAAAATGAGCTTCACGTTTCATTTCAAGGCCCTAAATCAACTGCTGATAGCCTGAAATACACATAGTACTAACAAAATAGATTTGGGACTCTCTACTGTAATATATCACTTGTGTTATCACGCCCTACCCCACATTACTCATTAATAGACTAATATACGTGTTTCGGTAAATATACAATTATGATTGTACAGCATCTGAATATGATTTTGTCGATAAAGAAAATATATTTCCATGGAATTAAGGCATCAATTTTAACACTTTTTGTTTTTAAGTGGATTTTGTATTTAAGAGGGAAGAATTCATGATGAGTTGTCATAATCCCATTCAGAATATCATTGTGAACAACATCGGTTAAAGAACCATTGGAAAACCAGCTGAGAGTACTGTACATATGTTCCGTCAGCCCACTTTGTGACTCGTCAGCAGTATGCAGCCAACCCCAGGCTTCCAAACCACGACCTACTGCATACAAGGCTAACCAGCTCGTAAATCATTCAACCACCGCGAACCAAACCCACGGTCCATGAATTCCAAATTTCGACAATTCATGCTAATGTGCAAACAATAGATTGGCAAACCGGGACCTCTTACCGATGTCAGACCTATCGGCGAGGCCAAAGAGCTCAGTGGTAACGTCCCTGAATGCAGTTCATACTGGATGATTTGGGTTCGAATCTCGGAGGAAACATGAGATCGTTTATAGCTTATAGATGCAATTTAATGACTGGCGAGTGAAAACTAGCACAAATCCTAGTTCTCAGGCTACCTTCCAATAGCTTAAGAACGTCAAATTAGGTAAAAAGTGAAATGATTTTTAATGAAAACTTTTGTGAAAGAAATTAGCGTAGAAATAAAAGGTTTCGATAACTGAAGATGGAAAAATAGACGGAATGACATAAAAATAAACTAACAAAAGCTAAGGAGCCGAACAGAACTAAATCCATGGTGAATACGAACGTAGAACCAGTTTATTTCAAACACACGGCTCCGGTGTTTCGATACATATGGCAAGGGCTTCTACAATACAAAGAAGTTGGAAGCACACTGCCTTTGGTAAACTTTTGCTTACCCTGTGAATAACTTTGCATATCGAGTTAGCTGAGATGCTGTGAGTCGGTGTCACAACGGTAGAATGCTCACCGACCAGCCAGGTGGTTTGGGGTTCGATCCTCAGTCGGAGCATCCCTTTTATCTGTCTAAGCCAGTAATAAGACTGGTAAAGAGAGGAGGTTGGGCATGAGGCGAGTGACCCCCATCCCGTGAAAATAAACACCATTACTAGAGAAACTATTAGCCTGAAGTCCTATGTTCCACTGAGAACCTAAATAGTAAATATTAGACTCTGTGAAAGGTGTGCTGATGAGGTGTTTTATTCTAATGATTCCTATTGAACCAGTGGTTCGTGTTTTCACACTTCACTGGCTAGTGTTCACTTATACCTTATGAAAGGAAGTACATAGAGTCATTTCCTAATTTTACATAATTTCATTCCTATTCCCCCTTGTGAACCCTATTTTCACACCTACTTACTCTCATATCAGATTGAAAATTATTATCACTTTTATTCTCCCGTTGTTATTATGTTGAATTAAATCATAGTTTTAACTATACAAACTCGTGAATGAAAACAGGGTGATTGTACAGCTGCTCTTGAGGATGAAATTGCTGAAAAGATATTTATATTGTGATGTAGCTGCGGTATCTGAACTGAAAAGTTAATTTGAGAAGCTTTCACTGTTTTACTAGGTAACATATTCAGAGAATAGATACTTCAATTAGTGGAAGTGAGGTTTTCGATTTCTCCACGAGTCTATAAGTCATATCTCCTGGTGGGTTACTTTGAACGCGATTGGTTGTTTTCGTGTGTTTTCACACTCTCTAGTCTACTCGTATTGGTAGTGATCGTTTCCTTGACCTGACGTTTGACTCTTTGTATGTGAAATTTCCTTCTTATCAATTGACATATTGTGTCTATGTCAATATGTGTCTATTAAATAATTGTCGACTTCCTGGAATCACAGACTTGTAAAAATTCTCTAGCATTCTTGGCGTTTCCTCTGTCTAATATTTGAACGCTGGTTGTTCCAGTCGAATCGGTCTCCGTGATTGTCTGTATGCAGTGAGGCGACATGAGGGAATGGATGTCATAGATAGGAAGACGAAGGGGAAGTCGACTTTTGCCAGTGTAGTGTTTTTCGCAGTTGTTACAATTTATTTTGTAGATGATGTTGGTTTTATCTTCTTTCGTTGTTGAGTCTTTCGGCTGACGTAGAGTTGAGTGGAGTGATTGTTTTGGTTAGTGTGGGACATCAATTCCTACAGGTTTCAAGAGTCTTGAAGTGATTTCTGAGATGTTGTATTTTATATATGATATGATGTATATGATAGGTTGGCTTGAGAGTGGATGTCTTTTGATAGTGTCATGGATATCCATTCTTTTTGGAAGACGTCCATGAGATAATTTCCTTCAATGTGTCTTGGCTCTCTTGAACAATGTTTGTATGGAACTCTTTGTGGATGTGAGTGTGTGTGTTCTGTGCTTCTTGTTCTTTTCACCCTTTTACCTTAATGACTAGTTCCCATGATTTGAAAACTTTTACATTTCCCTTCGATTGATTATCTTGCAGCGAAATGATCCGTCTCTGTTAACATGTCAGTTTCTAGTACGGAGGCTTCCATGATATTTGTAGGTGAACATGATGCCATTTCGGTGGATAATCAGATGAAACTAGAACTAGAGCTCTATGAAGGTGAAAACAAAATGGCTCCTCTTATTAATTTCATTATTATAAGTAATTTTTGTGTTTTGTATTTTCATTTTTCAAATGATGAACTTCATTCGTACAACCTGAGGATAAAATAAAAATTAGTTTAAACAAAATAACAATGAATATGAATGAGCTTTTGTCAAGTACACAAAAAAAAACAACTGAAAAAGCCACTTACTTTACACCTTTTTATTCATATATAAAATAATAATAAGAATAACAATGTTTCACCTTAATATGAAAAGGAAATATTGTTTATGCAATGAACTCTATTCAAAACAATTAGCCATGGTTACATGTAAACTGCTGAGGACTCCATATTTGTGTAAAAGTTTACAGTTGAACAAAACAATATGCAGCATATTGTGGTTAACTAAGTGTTCTCCTTCAACTCTAACACACATACACATGTACATACACGCACACAAACAAAATGACAGTGTACAAATAGTACAAAAAGTGTGAAATGATTTCCATAGCATTTAGTTAGTAACCTTTTTGCGTGTAAAGCGTACTTTCTGTTCATGTAGGATATCCATCCAGGCATTTGTCTTATTCCGGGGAACAATAAAATTAATAATAATAATAATAATACTGGTTTCTGATAATCTTAATGTTATCCTTCTTTTCTTTCCTTTACCTTCACAGTTGAATAAAGGGAACCTTCAACCCAGAGGCTTGATGTTTCGGTAGCAGTGGTGTTTATATTTACGCGATGGGGATGCTAGTCTCATGCCCGACCTTCCCTACTTACCAGTCTTCCTAATGGTTTGGTGAGGTGAGGGTGTGCCTCGTTAGCCCGGGATCAAACCCCAGACCACATGCGTGTTCAGCGAGCATTCTACCACAGTGTCACTGACGCGCTAATTTTATCCCTACTCTTAGATATTCGCGTTCATCTGTGTGTATGCGATCTTATGCGTATATTAATATTGTTTTCTACTGTTACTTTCTTCATCATAATGAAAATAACTTAGTAGGAACAAAAAGGTTCAGAGAAGAAACTTTTTTCGGTGGCGAATTCCTTCACTTAACTGTACAATCGCAGTAATATGTAATTATTTTGTGTGTGTGTGTGTACACTGTGATTGTCATTAATTGGCAGAAGTTAGAATTCATGAGCCATAGGATTGGGCGAGTCCGAGAGGCTTAATAGTCCACGAGCCCGCTAGCCTTGCATCAAGAACGTCCTGGATTCAAACCTTGACAGTAGGTAAGTACTGATGAAGAGTCCCAAGCTAGGCTGGCGATATAAATGTCCAGTACTTCCAGTTGGTTTTCCCAGTGGTTTTTTCAATTGATATCAGCTCATGATGAAATCCTCCAGCCAAAAATAAAATAAACATTAGCTAAGGTGATTGTTTACGTCATCGATCTGCTTCTAAAATGCGGCGAACGATCAAGTTGTAACTGGAGGGGAGTGAAGACTTTTAAGTATTGACAAGGGTTGCTTAATACGAAGGACGTACAGAAAAATAGGATGTTTTCATGAAAGGGCATAGAGACACATGTACAAAATAAATTATGTAACAGGTAAAAAGAGTAAATAAAGGGTTTGTTAAAAAAAGATATCACTAAAATTTTGTTCAAACATCAAAGAAAAGCACTATTACCAAAGTGGAAGAACTTGGAACTAAAACCACGGTAGAAGGAGGTGGTGGAGAGGTTTCTTCTGTTTACATAAATTAGG